GGTTAGGGTCAAGTCAATTTATGAGAGGGAGCTGATAGCAATAGTGTTGGCCATTCATAAATGAGAGACTTACTTATTGGGAAGACATTTTGTCAGAGCCGATCAGAGGAGTTTGAAGTACTTATTGGAGCAGAGGATGATCACTGAGGAGCATCAATGGGGCTTTCCAAATTATTGGGCGATGGCTTCGAGATTCACTATCAGCCTGAAGTTGAAAATAAGGCAACAAATGGTTTATCTAGGTGTACGGGGGAACCACAGATGATGACATTTCCTGTGCGTTTGTTGGTTGACTGGGAAGCACTGAGGAGAGAGAGCGAACATGACACAGGGTTGAGGAACATTAGGGAGGAGTTGGCAGAAAATAAGGACATCAATTCGAGATATTCAATGGTGGGATAGAAGTTGCTTCATCATGGGCGGGTTGTGCTTCCAAAGACCCCTTTTATATTCCTTGCTTGCTTTAGGAGTTTCATGGGACGACCATTGGGAGGCATTCAAGGGTCAAAAAAATATATCATTGGCTCTCTATCGAGCTATATTAGGAGGGTATACAGAAGGATGTTGAGAAGATGGTGGTTATAGAAATATTTTTGTGATGTCTCCAGGAGGGCTCCTCTAGCCGCTAGCTCTGTTAGAAAAGGTGTGAGAGGAGCTAACCATAGACTTCATTAAAGGACTGCCAAGGTCAAAGGGATATACGATGATATTGGTGATAGTGGATTAGCTGATTAAGTATCCCAATTTCATTCCTCTTTGACATCCCTACACTATAGTAATAGTAGCCACAATTTTCATAAGGGAGGTAGTGAGACTACATGGGATCTTGGAATCGATTGTATCGGATCGAGACAAGATCCATATGAGCTAGTTATGGAAGGAATTATTCAAAATGTAGGGAATCGTTTTGAAAAGGAGCACTTATCATCCTCAGACAGACCGACAAATAGATGTGGTCAATCATAGTTTGAAACTTATCTATGGTGCTTTATATCAGATACACCTAAGCTGTGTGCAAAATGGTTGGCTTGGGCAAAGTATTGGTATAATACTTTCTATCATTCGGCAGTGCAGACTGCACTATTCAAGGTGTTATACGGACGAGATCCGCGTCACTTGATATATTATGAGCAAAGGAGCACACTGGTGAATTCGGTAGAATAGTACTTGGAGGACAGAGATAGAACCTTGGGGGAGCCGAAGGAGCATTTGTTGAGAGCTCAACAAATTATGAAGGTTGATGCGCACAAGAGAGATATTAAGTTTGAAGTAGGGTACAAAGTTTACTTGAAGCTTCACCCCTACAGATAAAAAAAACTTGGCATGGAGATAGAATGATAAGTTATCATCTCGATACTTTGGTTCTTACGAGATAACCTAACTCATATCGCGGGAGCAGGAGTTGCATTCACGAGAAAAGTGGGATCCACACGCGGTATGGGAGAGGGAGAGGGAAATTTGGCCCCCCTTGTGGGGCCCAACAATCCAATAATTCCTTATGTTAGGAGAAGGATTAAGGAAGGAATTAATGTAGGGTTTGAGTTCAAATAAGAGAGGAAGGTTAGTAAGGAAAGAGGGTAGTTTGGGAGGGGATTGGTAGTGCTTAATTAGGGCTGTTGTGAGATATATTGGGTATGAAAAATTTGGTAAGTGTCTGCCGTCCATTACTTTTGTGAGGGATCCTAGCGTCATCTAGGGTTTGGGAGAGCAGGTTCTCCTCTCGAAAGAGGACCATTATATCTTGCTTGTTCGCATTATTATTTTCTATCAATAAAAATTTGTGGTTTGCTGAATTTCTCTTGATTTGTTGGTTGTTTTTGATACCAAGTCCTATCATAATTCTCTTTTTTTAATGAAGACAATCATGTGAGGACTCCCAATCTTTAATTCATGGGCTTATTAATGATATCTTCCATAAGTGTTGGTTTTGATATGCTAACTAAATGGTATAAATGCCATGCATAAAATAATTTTGATGAAACAAAATGGCAGACATGAAAAATCTCTTTAACTACTTACAAAAAAAAAAAAATTCTTTGAAAGCATTTATAATCAAATTGTAAGCAAAAGAGTTAGCCAGTTAGGAAAACTATATGATATTAGAATTTTAGAAGCTAAATGTCTATCACTAAATACACCACTATGCCCATTAAATTTGAATATAACTAGTCTATGTCTGAAAGTCTTAGAGGCAATTTTTTTTTTAAATGTCTATTCAATGGGAGATCTAACTGTAGACACAATTCATTATGCGAAGCCCAACAAGACAATGGCCCGTGTCAGAAAAAAAGTTGATATTGTGTGGGTATCTCAATATTAAACTATACTAATTCTCAATCAAATGGATAAAACCAACCAAGGAAAGTTATAAATTGAATGTGTCTATGCATGTTTTACATAAGTTATAACTTCCAAGATATGAGCCTTGTTTCATATTACATATTTTATACTTAAAGCATCAAAAGTAGATTTCAACATACATGCTGTTGTAATGTTGCCTATAAGGTTTAAAGAAGAGATGATTTAATCAACATTCAATATAAAAAAGGATTGAAATCATGAGATGAAGCAGTTGTTCTAAAATTATTAAATCTAATAATGAAAAATCATATACTTAGTTAAATGTCTAACCATGGAGATGAATCCCCCTCAAGTCCTTGTTGCTGTTGCCACTCACTAGAATCTACTTGATTCTTAGTCGGTTGACTCTCAAGAGCTTAGAACGTAAACTTTGAATTGAGAGAAATTAGGATAGCGAAATAAGGGAATTGAAATTTAGGAGCTTGGGAGCTATTGCATCCAAATCATTAAATCTAACAATAAAAAAAATAAATGTCTTCTACCTTGAGTTGAATACCCTTCTAATATCTTTGTCATTGTCATCACTTGCTAGATGTTGCTTAACCTTAGAGCTCACTACTTCACCTAATTGCTTGCCTTGTTGCCACTCGCTAGATGCTGTTATCGCCACTTGTCCAAAGACTCAAGTGACTACGACTCTGCGAAATGAGGGGACCTAGAGTTTAACTACCTAATTTGAAGGAGAATGTGTGAGCAGGAATCTGGTTTTGATAGTGGGGAGCTTGGGGACTTTGCATGACTTAATTGGGCAGCTTGAAGTTGATAAGTCAACGAGCCAAGCCTCATCAAACTCATATTCAAGTTCATATAGCATATGTGTAAAAAATATGAGCTCCAGCTTTAGCTCATCACTTTATAAGTCTTACTCATTAACCATTTAACAAGTCAACTCGCAGACATACTGGGCCCACCTGCACATGTTGCTTGAAGATGTCTTGGTTTCAGAATCTTTAATGGAGTTTCAATTTTGACAATTTTTAAAGTATTGACAATTCCGACATTAGTTTCACTTTTAATTTTGTAATTATTTTGATAAATTTTGAGTATGAAATCATATAGTTTGCATTTTAAGGGCGAGCATCAACATGTTTTTTCTTGCTTGGAATACACTCTTGGATGAGGCGTTTAACATGATTCATGCTAATAAGGAATTATTGGATTATATGGAGATGCAGGAGAAATGTTTTGATTTGATAGTCTTTCATGGAGTTTCAATTTTGACAAATTTTAAAACTATCAATAATTCCAACATTAGTTTCATTTTTAATTATGTAATTATTTTGACAAATTACAAGATGAAATCATATTGATAGTTTGACATTTGAAGAGTGGTCTTCAACATCTTTTTTTTCTTGCTTGGAATATACCCCTGGACGAGGTGTTGTACAAGCTCCATGTTGATGGAACGTTGTCCAAATGATTTGGTGGATTGTATAGAAAGGTGGCAGGCTAAGGATTAAATGCATGTCATTTGTGCACTTTTCACACTTTCTTTAATGTTGGCTCTTTTTAGTTACTACTCATCTTTGCCAAATGGGTGCAATGCGTGCTTATTTTGGAGAGGTGTGAATGTAATTCAAAATATACAACAACAACAACATCAAGCCTTTGCCCCACTATGTGGGGTCGGCTACATGAATCCTTTTTCTCCATTGTGTCCGGTTAAAAGTCAAACTCTCATTTAAATCTAATAAAGAAAGATCATTTCTAATATTTTCAATTCAAAATATCATTGAAAATAATTTTATTTGTTCATGTTTTCTAAGAATTAAATTAATCAATGAAATAATTCAAATTCATACTTATCATTTGATAAATTATGCACTAACAAACTATTTATCAAGATTTTTTTTGAAATATTTGTAAGCCCCCACCGCACAAGAAAAAAAAAAAAAAGAAAAAAAAGAAAAAAAGAAAGAAAAACCCGCGGTTAAGATAAATTGTAGTAGTTTAAGTATGATACTACGAAAATATTAAAAAAAACTAAGTTCTTGTTGGATTAGTACTGTTTAGGGATTTTGGGAATAGGCCATCGAGAATCGAGAACAAGATAGTTTGGAAGAGTAGGATCCATCTCTCATATCTCTGTTTTTTTTTTCCTTTGGCAACTTTGTGATAAATCAAGGAATTTCCTAAAAAAGCAAGAAACATAGTAGTTTAAGTGAGGGGTTCAACTCCCACTCATATGAGTGCCAAACTACAATTCTAGGGTCCAACTGTCTGGTGGTGTGATGTCATTGTTCTCTGAATTGGAACATTTTAAAAACGTTAATGAAATCCCTGCTAAAATAGAGAAGCAGAATGTCTATAGTGCATCTCTTTCATCGGAAAGTTTTATTATATCATGCAAAAATTGGTATTCTGTTTTGTTAGAGATCATTTCACGACCAGAATGGTATTTTTATTGATGTTCTTGTTTACTGTTTGGGGTACTACATTTGATTTCTTACTTATTTTTTGTAACATTTCGACTTCTTAAAATGTTCCTATGATCCGAATATTAAAATAATTGAGAACTCTGCATTTTTCTTGAAAGTGTGCCTAGATGTCCCCTTAATGGAAGAACTATATTCTCAAGATTATGTGGACTCAAGCTTTTCATTAATTAGGTTATCTGATTGTTATATTTCTTTTGGCAGGATATCATCCAGAGGCTTCGTTTTTTCAGAGTTATTCCTTCAATATTTGCCTTCTCGTCAATACCGGAGTTAATTTTTGGAGTTTATTTGCTATATTACTTCAGATTATTCGAGAGGCAGATAGGTTCTAATAAATACTCAGTAAGTAGCAATGAGTAAGTTTATGTTGAGACACAATAAAACTTTTTAATAACTACTTATTTATAGCATATGGTCTGCTAATTATGAGCGGATTCTACCACCCCACCACCAAGAAAAACACAATCAAAGTTTGATTCTGATTTGTAGACTTGGTTGTCATACTTTCTCGCTGGTCGCTGAATTTATAATCTTTAATTGTGCAGGTTTTTGTTCTATTCTCTCTGTCAGCGTCACTGTTACTTGATGTTCTTGCCTTGGTGTTTCTAAAAGGTTTGCATTGTCTGAAATTTCTAATACTCTTATACAGCATATATCAAATTACTTGACATAGAAATTGGTTTTCTTTAATGCTTTGTGGCGCCTACTTTCATAGATTTAGTCCTCTTACTGGTCTGACATGTATCTTTCATTTTTGTAATTTTACATACATGTTTTCTGTTTTTTCTCCCTAGCTTTCAAGTCTCCTAACGTAACCTTGTGGAAAGCCAAAGGAAAATAAAAACAAAAAGAACTATATGTAAAATGCCCCACTCTTTCTTTAGCGCAGTCTCTTTATTGTTTAATGCAGCAAGTGTATTGCACCTGCATATTATTTTCTTATTTTCACTTAATAACTGTTGTTTCCTTAAGTAGTTATTAATTACTTGGAAATTTATTTTCTTTTTTTTGTTGCCTGCCTTTGGTCGTGATCCCATATATCATTCAGGTTTGTTAATGCTCTATGAACAGCATGATTCGTGGTGCTTGGAAGTTAGTCTGCTGACTGACTTCTTAGTTTTGTGTCCTTTACTTTCAAATGGCAAACTCACTAGCTGCAATTTTGTGCTCGAGTCTAGTAAAAATTTGTTGGAATTTTTACAAATGAAGAGGTCTGATGTGATTCAACCTATATTTTTTATACTCTTAATTAGTCTTTTCTGACTCGTATGATTGCAGCACAAAACTTCTGATGGTCCTCTCACCTCATCAAAAAAATGGAAAAATTAGCAGATAATTTGGGATGTGGAGAGGTGAGCAATACGTGAAGCAAACTAAAGGGAATTCTTGCAGAAAAAAAAGGTTTTTGTTGATTTGCATTTCATGTAAGCATTGGAGGTTTAGCGACAGAAAAACTAAAAGAGAAGCATTTTAGAAGAGTTGAGGGGTAGCTTGATGTAAAATCAATAGGATTGAGAAGGAATGATTGTACTTACATTAAAAGAAAGAGGAGAAGAAGAACTTTTGAAGTAGAGGTGAAGAAAAAAACATATGGAAGAAGAATGAAAGAATTTTTTTTTCAAAAGAAGCTTCAGCAAGGACATGATATACAAGCAAGGAAATGCCTTCTCTGGCTATCAATGTTCATACAATGCAATGCTCAAAGTGTAGAAAAAGTGGAAAAGTAGGAAAAAAAACTTGAATTTTGTTTGTTGATTATGTATAAAATGTAGAAGTATTTATAGACTTCTCTAAAAGTCTTACAATAGAAATGAATCAAAGTTATTTATGAAAAAAAAATCTCGAAGAGGTGTAGGAAGATGAGGCACTTGGATTGCAATCTAAAAGCCTTAAGAGGGTCGATCCAACAGTTAGAACCCTTTAATCAATGTGCTCAAGGATCCCTTTGATGGTTGGTTGAATTGTAGGTCCCACTATCCTTTCCCACTTCCCTAATTGAATGGTTTAAATCTATCATTTTAATTTTACTTACAATATTTTTGAACGTGAGTTTGTAGAATCCTTTAATGAGAATTGTTAAATTTAGAGAATTGGAGAGGGAAAAAGCTTAATTTAATTATGCAAAATTATCCCTACTTATAGGAAGATGATGTGTGACCAGGAATTGTTTTATAAGATCGATAAAAACTCGTTAAGTAATGATCAAGTTGTAATCTTAAAACTTCACCCAAATGCGATTCAACGAAATTCTTAAGTAAACTATGAATAGGCAATCAATCACAACTTAAGTTACAGGACATTTCACAACATCAATTCAAAATAAAATAATGCATAGATTAGTTCAATTAGAATCAATTGGTTAACAAAGCGATCGTTTCACCTTGAAGTCCATATTCACTCATCTACTTCTAAGGTTGGCGGGAGAAGAAGAACGACCCAATGATGAAAATCACCACTAGGTAGAAGGCACAGACGATCCGTAGTGATGGAGCGGGAACTGGTGGCGAAGGAGTTGGCCGGTGGCTTGTGATCATCCAATGGCCGGATGGTTGATGCTCTTCAACTGATAGCGCCAATTGGTACGAAATACGGTTGATAGATCCGCCTATAGTTGTATCCCAACCCGGATATGGATCAAAGAGAGGTGATCGTAAAATGTCGATTCTCCCGTTGGAATCCTCTACGGATACGTGATCAATTTCCGAATCCGCCATTCATAGTTGAATCTTGAAGGAGGACGGAAAACGAGAGGAGAGAGGAGGTGGTGGTGGCGGCTTGAGAGGATGGGGGTTGGGCCGTGAGCTAAGAGGATGGGGGAGGGGGTGGGATGAGGTGGAGAGGCTTAAATCTGAATTTGATTTCAGATTTCCAAAATCTGAAGGTTTTAATTTTAAATTCAGATTTTCAAATTTGAATTTAGGCTAATAAGAGGGAAATGGTTAATGGTGAGAGAGAGGATAAGGTGGTCGGCCATGAAGAGGGGGGAGAAGGCTTGTGAATTAACAAGTGGGGACCACAAGGAGTTAATTAAATCTAATCAAATCTGAATTAATTTCAAAATTGATTGAATTTTAAGTAACTCCCAAAATTAAAGGAGAATGAGAGGGAAGAATAATTTTAATTTCAAATAGGTGTAACTCCTTTAATTAACTTTCCAAAATTGATAAGGTGTAATTAGAAAAACAATTAATAGAGGAGAATTTGAAATTCGAATAGGAAGATCTAGAGGAGGGGATGGCCGGCAACAATGAAGGGGAAGCTCAGGGCGGCGGAATGGGGCCAGCGGGTGGCCAGCTGGCTGGATGGCTGCAGGCCGGCGGGAAGCTGGGAGGCTGTTGGGGACTGTTTTGGAGCGGCGGGATGGGGTGAGGGTGGGAAACCGTGGGAGGAGAAATGGGAGAAGGGGTGGTGGAATTTGGGAGTTTGAGAAGGGAGGTGGGGAGAATAAAAGAAAAAGAGAGATGAGGGAACCAAATAAAACTCTCTTCCTCAAGAACTCACTAAGAGATCTTGAGATTTTACTCAAGAAATCACTAAGATATCATAAAACAAAGTTTTCATTCATCAATAATCTAAATACAATGACTAAGCCTTCATATATAGGCATTCCGAAAATAAAACCATAGAGACGCAATTGCCCTTGGGCTACAACATGCAATCGCTTCCTCATAGGGGTACAAATGGAAAAACATAAAATATAAATAACATGAATAAAATAAAACATCAGAAATAAAGACTATGAATCATGGCCGTCGCTCGACGACCCCTTCGATGGTAGACGTGTCGAAATCTTCTATGGATGTCCTCATCATTCTCCCCAGGTGGGAGGAAGCTCGACCCCGTCGAGCAAGGGTCCTGAGAACTCTCGTACAACTCCAGAATGTCAGGATCCAGTCTCTGTATCTCGTCACGATCCAGCCATGTATTCTTTGTCTCCGGCTTCCCTTTCCATTGAACTAGGTATCTTCGGCGCCCGCCATCCTTTGTGGAGATAATTTCATCATCGAGTATAGTTTCTATCTTTTCCGCATTAGGTACTATAGGAATTTTAGGGAGTGGGGGTAGGCTCGGGATCTCATTTGGTATGGTCAAGGCTCAATATTTAGTGGATTTTCAGGGTTAAAATTAGGTCTTCAAAGGCTACTAGATCCTTAATGTTAAACGTAGGATTCATATTGAAACCTTCTGGAAGGTCTAATACATAGGCATTACTGTTTATTTTGAAAGGCCCGGCACTTTTAGCGTGTAATTTCTTAATGGCCCTAGGAGGGAACCGCTCCGGACGAATCCGGACTATGACATAGTCTCCATCCTCGAACTCCTTGAATCGTCTTTTGAGATCAGCATGAAGTTTATAATTATCATTACTTTGTGCAATTCTTTTATTAATCTCTTTATGCAATTCCTGGAGATGAGAAACAAATGCAGATGCAGACTCTAACACTCTAAGCTTAGGGTTCATGGGAATTAAATCTATTGGTTGCCTAGGTTGGTACCCGTATACAATCTCAGCTGGACTTATACCTGTGGTCCGGTTAACGGAATTATTTTAAGCAAATTCAACAATAGGCAATTTAGAATCTCAATCTCTAATGTTTTCGCCCACCAAGGTCCTAAGAAGGTTTTCAAGACTCCTATTTACAACTTATGTTTGACCATCCGTTTGTGGGTGGAAGGCGGTGGAGAACTGCAGTTTAGTACTCATCTTAAGCCACAATATTTTCCAAAAATAACTAGTAAATTTCATATCTCGATCCGACACAATCGTTTTAGGGAGTCCATGAAGTCTGACAATCTCATCAAAGTACAACTTGGCAATCCTAGAGGCATCAAAGCTTTTGGAACATGGGAGGAAGTGTGCCATCTTAGAGAAATGATCTACTACGACACAAACTGAGTCATGGTTCCTAACAGTTTTGGGTAAGCCTAAAAAAAATCCATGCTAACATCTTGCCACGAGCAGTTTGGGATGGGAAGTGGCATGTAGAGGCCGGTGTTCTGCTTTCTTTGCTTAGCCAATTGGCAGGTATGACATCGCTTGACCAATTTACTAACATCCCGCTTGAGACTGGGTCAGAAAAATCTATGTTCAACTGCTGCAATGGTCTTTGCCTCTCCAAAATGCCCAGCTAAGCCTCCAGCGTGTAGTTCCCAAACGAGGAATTCACGGAGCGATGTGTTGGGAATACACAACTTTTGAGACTTAAATAAATAACCATCTTCCAACAAGAAATCGTCTACAATTCGCTTATCTCTAGTCATTAGTGACGAATATACTTCTTCAAAATTAGGGCAGTCCAAATAGTCTTCCTTAAGTCGTTCAAATCCGATTACTTCAGCTCTCATCTCTTAGGTAATCATTAGTCTTCGGCTCAGGGCATCCGTAGCTTTATTCTCAGATCCTGCTTTATGTCTAATTATGTACGTGTATTCTTGTGAGAACTCGACCCAACGATCATGACGGGCATTTAATTTCTTCTGTGAATTAATGTATCACAAAGCTTCATGATTCGAGAATATCACAAATTCTTGTGGCAACAAGTAATGTCTCCAAGATCTAAGAGACTGAATGATCGCATAGAATTCCTTGTCGTAGGTAGAATATCGTTGAC